CAAAGCAAAGGGAGACCGGAATGGCCATTTCTGGCTTATTAGCCGTCATAAGGCAGTCATGCCCAACCTCGACTGGCTGATGACGGTTAATAAGCCAGAAATGTTCATTTCGGTCTCCCTTTGTGCTGTCGTGGAAATTATTAGGTGCATGACATGGAAGAAGGTGGACGGGACATGACTCAGACCCTATCATGACATGGAAGTAGGTGCACGGGACATGACTTTTAAGGGTCAGACCCTAGCGAGGACATGGAAGTAGGTGGACGGGACATGACTTTTAAGGGTCAGACCCTAGAGTTCGATGAATATTTTTGTCGAAGACAATCAACTGCCGCGATATAACCACGGGAATCCATGAAGATTTTCGTCGAAGATAATCAAATACCGCAGAATAACCACGGAAATGTCCATTTACATTTTCGTCGAAGACAATCAACTACCGCGGAATAACCACGGAAATATATATATATATTATAGGGAGTTCAAGGGTGACACATCCATCTACGTAAAATAGGGTGGACTGAAATTAACATAACAGGTGTAGCTAGTTTATATATATATACGCTGTTCCATATCGCGATATTTTTTAAATAGTGACCAAATTGCAACTTATGTTTTCTCGCCAGCTGTTTGATAATCAAGGAGTATACTTACCGAGGAAGCAACTGACATAAGAACTGAATACGGCAATCCAATGCCAATTCCAAACAAAATACAGTATGTAACTATAAATGGCCCCAATCCGTGGTCCACTGTCAGTCTGGAAAGCATAATTCCACCGCTAAAAAACAAAAGAGACTGTCAATGTCAGCATTTTGGTTTGTTTATTTTTAACGGCAGTTATATGAGAAAATGAAAATTTTATTATTAGAAAAACTGATTACATTATGCGGTTTACAATTAAGCCCACCACAGATCAGCTTGATAATTGTGCTTTTCAGAATTACAAGGTATACATCTATAATAATCCACTGCTTTTTGACAAAAGCACCCTGCCAGCACCTGCCCGTCCAAGCCCCTCAATGTACCCCGGGTTGCGAAGGGGACTTGGAAAGGATAGAGGAGGCAAATACGGGAATATTATGGGGAATTCACCATGACATATTTTCCGTCAATAGAATAAAATGGCAATGGAAATAAGATTTCCAAAAAATTTACTGCACATATGAGTGAGTTCAAACTCAAAACAAACCTCAGTCAAAAAATAATACCGAATTCAAAGAGGAAGCGCACAAAATTCAATCAATTTCACATAAAGCGAAGGGTGAAATGATTGCGTTTAAACGCTTAAATATTCTGCTTTTAGGTTGCTGAGCGTATGGTGGAAGAAATGCATGGGCAAATGGGCGGCCTTTTATTATTTGATAGAAGAACTGAGAATTCTTATAATTAATTATAGTCACCTGCTTAGAATCATCCCCATGATGGTTACAGGTCTGAAACCAATCTTTAGTACGAGAATCCCTCCAACCGGCATAGAGACCGCCTGCATTGCAAACGATACAGAGTTAAACCAGACGCTTTGACTTTTTGAAACCTTCATGTAGGCAATAAGATATGGGTTCATATTACCTAAAACTTGTAAGTTTTTTTGGGAAACCTACCAATTGTGTAAAAATATCCAAAGGAGAGGTGAATTAGAACCGCTCCTATAACAGACAAAATACCCCAAATCAAAGTCTTCATTTCCATTTTATTAAACCTCGATCTAGGCTAACTGAACTAACTTAAATAGGCGTAGATTTACTAAATGAAGAATCTTGATAAACTTAAACAAGTCTAGGTCAAATAATAGGACTAAAGGTAAATTAAACTCACGCACAGTGTCCACATATCTCCTAGTACGCCTAAAATAAATTTAAAATATATATTCATCGCAGAGCATTCTACCACGGAAGCTGACTTATTTCGTCATTGCGTCCACGTTCAGTGTTTAAATACCATTTATATCTACCTCAATTTGTTCAGATAAAACCTAATCGTCTAAAAACAGACATTCTTTCGAAAATGACGGTATTCCGAACTTAGTTATAAAGAAAAAGGTGAAGTTTAAAAATTTCTCTGCCATTTGTTCGTAGGCTTTCGCCCTTGAGTTCTTACATGTACTTCAACCTCACCAAGCACGTTTCCATTATGGCAACAAAATGAGGTTTCCGGTCTGAAAGTAATGCTTTGAATACATCGAGGAGAGGAAAGACCTTGGGTATTAATGTACAGAAACCTCAATTTAGACTTAGTCACCACTTTATGCAGGTGTTTGCCTCTTGCTTGAGATTGTATGCAGAAATATGTCGTTGCTGATGGAGGCGGACTGTTGTCTGTTCCGACTAGGCTGTAAGTGTTATAGCCTTCCTCCTGAGAAATGACCTCTGGACATGTACGTTTTCCCCGATCCGTATTCTCGGATTGTTCTCGCCGAGTTTACATCTCCTGAGGAGTTGCACTTTGAAAAATCTCCCTTTCTCCCGCACCACGCGGGAAAAATCCGGCTGAAAAAAAACGTTGGCGAGAGTATATCAGTAATGGTTTTCTGCTCAAAAATAACTGAACCTCACTCTGCCATCTGATGCCTTCGTAAAAACCAGGTCGACGCAGTCAGTCGTTCGACTTTTATGTGCTCTGGTTGGAAACAGAACAAGCTGCGTGAGCACTACCTCTAATGTTTTGTGTACAAAAGAAAAGTCGCAATTGAACT